CAGTAATAGTAATAGTAATAGTAATAGTAATAGTAATAGTAATAGTAATAGTAATAGTAATAGTATGTCCAGATTTCTCCCCAGTAGCTCCCGTTCCTGCATTGCAAACCCAGGGTGCAGGTGAGGGAAAGCAGATTCCATGAGGCTCAGTACAAGGATATTTCCAGAAGGGAAGGCGACTTCTGTTCTCTCTGAGGAATGAAAAGGGGGACCCAGGATCTCAGGATCTCCAAAGTTAGGCACAGAGTTCAGTGATCCAGCTAGTCAAAACCACCCACAATCTCAGGGCCTCCCCAGCTGCTCTAGGACCCTCTCCACTCCCTGCTAGCACAGGCTGCTCAGAGATGCACTACCAGGGTCTGTCACAGCAGCCACTGCCCGCAGGATCTGCTGAGGGGGCGTTGTACAGGGAGGAAGGGGCTGCACAGAGATGGGAACGCTGGTTGCAGTAGCTGACTGGTCAGGAGGTTTCCACCTTTCCAAGCCCAGAGAGCATCCAGAGACTCTGACAGTGCCACCTTCATTTGTGTTACAAGGAGGGGGAGATGAAAAAACTCCCCTGTGGGCAGCCAGGCAGCTGCAGTTGGGCAGCACCCTGGCAGCTGAGTGTTCAGAGAGAGGAAAGCTGTCCCCCAAACAATGGATGGAATGGAAACATTTTAATTCATGGGGGAAACCTCCGTTTTCCAAGCCAGCTTATGCCATCAGCCTTTGCCCCTTGTGCCACAGGACCCCACCCCTAAATGGCAGCACTCAGCCCCCATCAGCCTCCCCCGCACTGGTTCTTAGGGTGATCATATTTCCAAGGAAAAAGCAGGAGACCCCATTGCTTGTGCATGGCAGTTGCCTATTGCTGGAGCCCTGCAGCACCCCCTTCAGGCCTGAGGAGGCTATTGCATGAGGCCTGAGTGCCGTGCCCCCCAACTGTGACTAATGTCCCCTCCTCTAGCTTCCCCGAATACTCCTCCACTCCCCACACTCCCACTTCTTGGACACAAGGAGACAGTTGTACCATCATTAGAACACATTATGATACAGGCTCACAAGTGTGTCCTTGTGGTCAGTTCCCTTTCCCTCGGTGCCTTCATTTCCTCCAAACTGCCACGGGAAGAGGTGGCTCCTCGGTGTCTTTCTGGAGCATGCATGGTCCACAACTCCCTGCTGCACCATACAGGAGGCCTGTGTTCTGCGGGGCATGAGGGAGTTCAGATTAGATGATCTAATGGCCTCTTCTGGGCGTAAAGCCTACAAAGCTATATAAAAATGAGTGTGGCAGGTTGAGCAGTCTCTGATGTTTTCACGTGGAGCCGGCTTGACCCCCAGAACTCACAGTGAGGGAGGGGATGAGGGAAGGGGACCAGCTCAAACATGTACAGGGCCTGGTTAGAGGCAGGACACTAGCCCAGCAGGGCAGGGGTCGATACGGTGGTGACATCACAAGGGCCTTTTGTAGCACCTCAGCTTATTGGTCAAAGGAGGCAGTGACCTCACAGAGATTCCATGACAACAGGGAGGTAAGAGAGTCTGCAGGGCAGAGGCCACCTCAGAGCCCCCCCGTGGCTTTGCTGCAGGAGGTCTCCTTCTGGAGGTCTCTCCTTGAGGATTAAGAGAAATTAGGTTCCTTTATGTGAGCGTAAGGAGGAGCAACTTCGGGGACTTCTTTATTCCTCCCTACTAATTTCACTAGAATGATGATGGTGAGAAGGGACAAGATTCAGAGAGGTTTGGTACGTGGTTTGCAGCCTGGCCAACTTAGTGCCAGGCAAATTTGAGGCATGGAAAACACTCGGTTAAGGTGGGAGATTTTTCCCCCCTGTCTGAACCCTTTGTCCCTTAGGCCGTGTCCAGACTCAGGGGTTTTTTCGGGAAAAGTAGCCTTTTCCCGAAAAAACTTCCCCTGCGTCCAGACTCAAGCCGCGTTCTTTCGAAATTATTTCGAAAGAACGCGGCTTTTCTTTCGATGGCGGTAAACCTCAATTTACGAGGAAGAACGCCTTCTTTCGAAAGTTCCTCTTTCGAAAGAAGGTGTTCTTCAATGTAAATAGGCCATCTTCGAAAGAGAGCATCCAGACTCGCTGGGTGCTCTCTTTTGAAAAAGCGGATTTCTCTTTCGAAAGATTCGCCTGCAGTCTAGACGCGATCTTTCGAAAGAGGCTCTTTCGAAAGAAGCCTGCAGTCTAGACATAGCCCTACACTTGGTGGAGACATTGGGTTTTGTCTTTGGGTTTTTGTCTGGTTTCCCTTTCCTCTGCTTGTCTTCCGGCACTGGTGAGGCAGGCGCTGGTCTCCAGCTCTCTTTAGGGCGGCCCTCATAACGAGGGAAAAAGCTCTGACAGTGATCCCCGCTGGTGACTCGAGCCATCCTCAGGAGAAGCTTGGGGGGAGCCCTCAGCATCCCACCTCAGAGTCTTAACACTGAAGGGCTGAGCTGGACCTTTTCTACTCCATCAGTTTACTCAGGCCTAGCCCTAGGGCAAGGCGAGCAAGGCAAATGCCTTGGGCCTCACACTTTTGGGGCCCCACACTGATGAGTATTCACCATCCACCAGCCGGGCCCAGGGCCCTGCTCCCACTGTCCTACCTTGGGCCCTGCAAACCCTTTGGCTGAGCCTGAATTTACCTGACAGCTTGGACAGTTTAACAGACTCTGGGATTTCCCCTCCTCCAGGAATAGAGTGCTCCTTTCCCCAAGAGCTCCTTCTTCCAACTGAGTCCAGAGGGCCTTTGATCATGACTGGGTGATTGATAGGCAGTCAATTGCTTGACATGGGCTCTTAGTTTTCAGATGAGAACCCATATATCTCCTGGGTCCGGACTCCCTTAAAATGGACCAGTACCCACATGACACTCCTGCACTAACATTCAGTCACCCACATGGATGATGGGAGCTATTTAGCTAGGTTTTTCACTTGTCGCCCATCACCAGAGAAGGTGAGGGCCAAGTATCTGAAAGTGTCATTTGCTATGTGGGAAGGAAATCTCCCTTCTATCTTCACAGGAGCCTGGCCTTATATTTTCATTCAGTCTAAAGCTGCTTGGTGAGTATGGTCTTGTTTACACTAGAAATTTGTTCTGATTGAGCTGTACCAGCATAGTTCAAACATTGTAATCCCCTTACTATGGACACAGTTGTATAGTATCAAGGGAATTTACACCAGTGTAGCAAGGGGAATAAGCTATAAAGGTGTTCGGCACTTTTATGCAGATACAGCCAGTCCCCAAGTTGCGAACGGTTGACTTACGACCGTTCGCGGTTACGACCAAAGCTGTTGTAAATGGCAGACCCCGAGTTATGAACACGATCTACGCTTATGAACAGCGCGGTCGTGTGTAACTCTGTGGGGTCTGACTTAACGAACGAATCTAGTTATGACCAATTGCTTGGTCCGTAACCGGTTCGTAAGTCAGGAAGAGACTATACGCATTTACGATACCACCGAACCTTAGGACTGGAAGGATATGTCTGCACTACAAGATTGTTTCAAAATAAGGTATTTTGAAATAAGAACTCCCAAAATAACTATTTCCAAATAGCATGTCCACGTTATAGGGAAGCCTCAAAATTAATCCGAGGCAGGCTCCCTTGATGTGAACATACTACTGTAGTCAGTTGAGGGTCAGTAACATGGAGTCAGCAGCCCTGTAACATGAAAACAGCAACAGGCCTGGAAACTAGTGAGCAAGACATTGGTTCAGTAACACGGCAGCCCAGAAAGAGGCCCTATTGATAATTGTGTATGTTAAGTCTAGCATGGAAGAACATAGGGAGGCAACGGGATCTTTAGCCTTCTCAAACACCCAAGGTCTCCTATCCTCCAACCCATCCTCCTTTATTACTGAGGAGCTCCACCAGCCTGCGTGCTAGGGTCAGCTTTGGTCCACACTTGCCTCCTCTTCTGCCCCATGTCTCTCCTAGGGATCCATCCACTACCATCTCTTCTCCTGAGGCCTTGCCTGTTGCTTCTCCATTTCTCCAAGCCAAGATGTATCTGGGCTATGTTGACTGCTGCTCAGAGAGCCCAGGACATCTTTAGGAGCCCTGGACTCTCCACCTTCCCTGGGGGGTGCATGTTGGGGGCAAGGACATGGGCTATGGGCTGCTCTGGGATTCCTCAGGTTCCCTCTCCCCCACACAGGCAGGTGGAGGATCTAGGACTCCTCATAGTGTCTCTGGCTTCCAGGGCAGCTGATAAAGTGGCCCAGCTTTGGCGTCTGGTGTGGCAAAGGGGCAGGGCCTCAGGGGAAGAAAATGAGCAGCAGTTGGGGAATCGGGGCCCGAAGACCTGAGGGGGTAATGCTGGATTATAAGATAAATATGATGCTCCAGTGTAACAATGTTGCAAAAAAAGGGGGGGACACCATTGTGATCAAAACACAAGAAGTCATTCTTCTGCTCTGCTCGGTGAAGATTAAGCCTCAACGAGAGTTGTGTGTCCAGTTCTGGCCACCACATCACAGGAAACAGGTGGACAAGTTGGCAAATGTCCCAAGAAGAGCAAGGAAAATGCTGAACACTCTAGAAAATGTGACCTATGAGGGGAGACTGAAGGTACTGGGTTTGTTTAGATCAAAACACAAGAAGTCATTCTTCTGCTCTGCTCGGTGAAGATTAAGCCTCAACGAGAGTTGTGTGTCCAGTTCTGGCCACCACATCACAGGAAACAGGTGGACAAGTTGGCAAATGTCCCAAGAAGAGCAAGGAAAATGCTGAACACTCTAGAAAATGTGACCTATGAGGGGAGACTGAAGGTACTGGGTTTGTTTAGTCGGTAAGGCTACGTCTACACTACAAGGTTCTTGCACAAAAACTGGCAGTGTGTTCACCCCTCAAGCACGTTTTTGCGCAAAAAAAAATACAGTAAATCGACAGGACAGAGGGCTTTTGCCGGTAGAGTTATTCCTCTCCCCACGAGGAATAACTCCTTTTTGCGCTACAACTCTTGCACAAAGAGGCATATGTGGACACTCCACAGGGGTTTCTTGTGGGGTCGGGAAGGAATTTTCCTCCAGGGTAGATTGGCAGAGGCCCTGGAGGTTTTTCGCCTTCCTCTGTAGCATGGGGCACAGATCACAGCTAGAGGATCTCTGCATCTTGGGGTCTTCAAAGTATTTGAAGGCTTCAATATCTGAGATATAGGTGAGAGGATTATTCTAGGAGGGGTGGGTGAGATTTTGTGGCCTGCACTGTGCAGGGGGTCAGACTAGATGATCATAATGGTCCCTTCTGACCTTGGAGTCTATGAGTCTATTTTAGTTGCCCTTTTCTGAATCCTTTCCAAGGCCAAAACATCTTTTTTGAGGTGAGGAAACCACATCTGTACACAGTACTGAAGATATGTCCATGCAGCGTGGACACTCTCTTGTGCGAAAGCACATCTCTTTTGCGATGCGCTTTTGAGGTGTGGATGCACTTTTGCACAAGAAGTTTTTCTCAAAAAGCTTCTTGCACAAAAACCCTGAAGTGTAGACAAATCCTAAAAGAGAAGACTGAAATGGGGACATGATAACAGTTTCCAAGTAGATGGACATAAAATGGAACAAGGGAGGTTTAGGTTGGACATTAGGAAAAACATCCTGTCAGGGTGGTTAAACACTGGAATCAATTGCCTAGGGAGGTTGTGGAATCTCCATCACTGGAGATTTCTAAGAGCAGGCTGGACAAAGATCTGTTAACGATGGGCCAGATCTTACTGAGTCCTGCTGTAAGGGAGGGGACTGGACTAGATAATCTCTTGAGGTCCCTTCCAGTTCTATACTTCCATGATTAAGATGAGGCACAGGCCTCAGGGGAAGAGGTGGGACAGGGGGTGGGACCTCACAGTGATCAGGAGGGGTAAGGCTGTGACCAGAGAGAGGACGAGGTTCCTGCCTGTGTCCCACTTTTGCCTTTAGGAAAGTGTGTGGGGAGGGTCTCCTTATAGTGAATGGTCTGGGCTGGAAGAGGAGTTAGTTATGCATTGTATGGGGGATGAGGCCCATTTCCATCCCTTTGCAAGCAGCTGGGGCTACGCAAAGGTGGGGGAGAAGGGAATCTCTTTCTAGGACTCCTGGGATCGGACCTCCCCCTCGCAGCTCTGCCCTGTCTGAGTGGGGCTCAGCCGGTGTGTGTGTGCAGAGCCATCAACAGGCAGTGGGAGGATAATGCGCTAACCTTGTCCCTGCTACGACTCAGTCGCAAGCATGTGATTGAGGGCTTAAGGAAATGGCAGGCCTCTGTACCTCTTGACTGGCCCCTGCCCGTAGCTCCTGGGTCACATGGCACCCACAGTACTCAGGAGGGGCCAGGACTGTGACTGCAGAACAGCTATGCAGTTTTTTCATGGCCCGTGGAGGTTGAACAAGAGATAGGCGGCCCTGTGAAGGGTATGCATGCGTTTATTTTAAACAAAATGTGGCTTGGAAGGTATGTAGGCATAAAGAAGCATGCTGTGGCTCACCACCGTAGGAATAGTCTAGAAAAGGCCAAGGGGAGGGGGATGAGCTCAACATGTGGAGTGGAGAAGTACAAGCATGTGAGGAACAAATCCATATATGGAAAGGTTACATCTGATTGGTTTAGAGGTTTGTGTTATGTAACTTATGTAACCTGTTATGTAATTGCCATGTGCTATAAAATAGCAAGGGGAGGGGCTCCTTGCTCGAGGGGCTCTGGCTAATTTTTGTACCGGAGGCTCTCCCTTTGTGTACACTGAATAAAGTCTTGTTGAATTGAATTGAATTGAAGTATCGAAGACCCTTGATTCTGCCCAGCATCTGACTCTTTGGGAACCACAAAATCCCAACACGTGGAAACAAAATTCACATCACTTCTCTTTATTGACGGCACTGACAGGAATTCTAAGGTTGGAGCATCTTCCAATGTGGTTCTTTTAAAGCCAACATCCCCTTTATTCTGTGGGTCTGACAGTCACTTTGTAAATGCCTGGCCTGTTTCCTTCCCCCCACTCTCCTCTCCTCCCTCACCAGCAGGTGGGGATAGCCTCCCTCACTCCAGGCCTTCCTCTCTCTCAGAAACTCTCTTTACACAGTGGAGATCAGTAACGTATACTGGCTGAGATGTAAGGGTCCAGGATGGAATGGGTAGCCACTGGTTTTTGTCTCCCGTGTCACGCATGCTGACGTGGGGTAACAAACGGATCCTTTACCTAACAAACATCCTGATGATCCGTGCACGAAGGTGTTTGTTTTTTATGCTATATACGATCGGGTTCATCAGGGGCGGGACCAGCAGGTAGACATAGCCCAGGAGAATCTGAAGCAAGGGGGAAAAACTCTTCCCAAATCTGTGTAACACAGACAGGCCGATCACTGGTATGTAGAAGAGCAGGACTGCGCAGACATGGGAGACGCAGGTGCTCAGGGCCTGGAGGCACTCAGCATGGGATGTGATTCTTAGCACTGTTTTGAGGATCAACACATAAGAGAGCAGGATGAGCAGCGAGTCCAACCCTACCGTGCCAAGTATTATGAACAAGCCATAGACACTGCTGACAGTGATGTCTGAACAAGCCAGCTTCATCACCTCCTGGTGCAGGCAGTAGGAGTGGGAGAGGATTTTGGATCGACAATATCGGTAGCGTTTCAGGAGAAAGGGGAGAGGGAATGCTACCAACACCCCTCTCAGCATAAGCACCAGTCCCATCTTGGCTATTCTCGGTGGGGTTAGGATGGACGTGTATCTCAGGGGGTCACAGATCGCGATGAATCGGTCAAAGGCCATCGACAGGAGCACAGCAGATTCAGTGAATGAAAGCGAGTGGATGAAGAACACCTGAGCTAAACAGGCATCCAAGCTGATCTCCCTAAAGTTAAATAAGAAAATGCCCAGTATTGTCGGTACAGTGGCTATCGATAAGCCAAGGTCTGTGATGGCCAACATGGAGAGGAAAATGTACATAGGCTCATGGAGACTTGCATCAGTTTTTATAATGAAGAGAATGACTGAATTGCCCACTATAGAAATAACATACACAAAGCAGATGGGGATAGAGATCCAGAGATAGACGTGTTCCTGCCCAGGTATCCCGGAGAGAAAGAACACAGCATAGTTGAATGTGGTGTCATTAGCAGCTGACATCATGTACTGAGCAGGTCCGAGGTGTTGTGAAGTTTTCGTCCTGAATGGAAAAAGAACAGAAGCCAATGTCATCTTTAACAAGATGCCTGGAGACTCCCAAGAGTACAAGGACAATCAGCAAAATCATAGTCTTGGATTTACACCACCAATACAAAGCCTGGATCAGACCTGAAGTCCATATAGCGCGATGTGTCAAGTCCAATCCTAGTGGCTGCAAAGGAAGGTGGAAGAAGTCCTGAAATAAGCAGTTACGATATGACCTGGTACCAGAGAAAGTTTCCCCTGGTTAGTCATGTTTTGTGATATACATGAGGAAGGTTTAAAGCTCTTCCAAATCTTTTTAAAACAGTCCTCTTTCCTGGAATTGGTTTTTTGTTTGTTTGTTTGTTTGTTTGTTTGATTTGTGAGTTACTGCTATGAACATGCAATCACTCTTTGAATCTTATTGCCCTGCTGTTATCTGTTGGCTGTGAGTTTTGCAGACTACTTGGGTACATCTAGACTACATGGCTCCGTCGAAGGAACCATATAGATTTGTTTGTTCGGCAAAGGGAAATGAAGCCGTGATTTAAATAATCACGGCTTCAATTAAATTTAAATGGCTGCCCCGCTCCACCGATCAGCTGTTTGTTGGCAGATCAGGGCAGTCTGGACGCTCCCCTGCCGACATGAAAGCCCTTTATCGACCTCCCCGGTAAACCTCATCCTACGAGGCATAACGGGGAGGGTGATAAAAGG